TTTTCGGCTTTTTACAAAAAGATGTGCAAAAAATAGAGAGAAAAGAGAATCTTTGATTTTTTAGTATAGGTTGTTTGTTTTTTAACTAATTTAGTAACTTTTTGACTAAAATGAAAAGTTCCCAAACAAGGCCTAATAGTTATTTTAAGTCATACCTGATAATATGTTTGATCAAAACACAACTTGTGATTGATTTAAAACAGTGAAGTTTAATAACTTGGGACGAATTTAATACACTTCATTAGATTAGATGGGGATTAATTATTTTTGGACAAATCACAAATTGCATTTTATTTGCACACAGTCACAAAACAGGTTGACAATTTTAAGCCGAAATTAATGCACTTTTTGAATAGGGATTGACGGTTTTAAATCAATCACAAATTACATTTTGTTCGTCTAATATTATTTTTTTTTTAACGATTGATAGGAAATAAATCAAAGAAAACAAAGGGATAAAACTCGAACACAGTACAATGTACCCAAATAGAAGCGTTGAGAAGAAGATCAACCAATTACAATAATAAAAATCACAAAGTACATTGTACAAGGAAATCCGTACACAAAAGGATCTTTTTATAAATTCATTCAAAACCATATCATATAATTAATTCATTATTACTAGTATATTACCTTGCACAGATATAAATAAATAATTAAAAATTAATTTTTAAATTAAAATAATAATATAAAATTTATTTAAAATATGTAGTAAAAATTATTTATAATCAATTAGATTTTATTTATATTCAGCAGAATTACACATAAGAGAAAAATTTTAGAGTAATGATTCATCCCCCTTTTCCCCCACCCTCTTTGACCCCCTCTTTCTCTCATTGGTTACCTTTTCTTTTTTTTTTTTCTTTTTTTTCCTGCTCCACCAATCACCCCCTGCCACGTGGCAAAGGGGGGTGAGGGGGTGACCCCCCAAAAGGGGTCCCAAGCATTATTCAAAATTTTATTATAATATCATTAATTGTGTGTTCTTAATTCTTAATAAAAATCTACATGTCATAATTTAATTGGTAAAAATTAAATAATAAATTACAAAAGTCATATTTACAATAGAATATAAATACATTTAATTTTATAAGTTTCGTAATTTTAATTTACTATATGATAATAGCAAATTACATTTTTTAATATACTAATTTTCTTATTTTATAAAGAATAAAAATTTGTTTACTCAAAATTGTAAATTATCTTGTGTCATAACTCGAAAATAGATTAGGATTGACTTGTGGTGTTAAACTAAGCATTAGAAGTGACCTAAAAGGAAGTTGACTCAATATTTATGTTAATGTGACATTCACTTGGTCATTAAAAATTGTCTTGATTATTTTAAATTATCTTTATTGGCGTGAACTAGTTTGGGATTCCAATAATGGATTAAATATTAAAAATGAGTTTAGAAAATCTAGTTTGAGTCGATTTTTTTCCCAACAATTCTCGGTTTAAGCCTATAATACATCTTATTTTAATGGCTCAATATGATATAAAAGAAAAACAATAATCTTAATATTTATGTTGCTTTTTATCAATCAATAAAAAATATTTGTAAATATTTAGAGAATTACATTTGAACAAATTCTAACATAAATTTTTTACTTTAAAACTCTAAGACCTACACATTTTGTTGGACTCCATCTATATCACTAATCTTTGGAGGTTCCATGGTCTTTTTTAATGAAATGTCTCTTTGCTATAATATAGACATATAGATTGGAATATCGATACATATAAAATCATTAAACACCAAAAAAAAAAATTCTATGGAAGATGTGAATTAATTCCTATGTTTTAGTAGTACAAAAATTTAAAAATTAAAATTGATTAGTCAACTTTCATCTTCAATTTCTAGATTTAAATTTTTAAATAAATAAATTAATTTTTCTTTTAAAATGTGTAAATCAAGGCATAAAAGTTATTTAACTTTTTAAATAGATTAATTAACTTTTTTTTAAAATTTAAATTTTTAAATGAATTAATTAATTTTTCTTTTGAAATGTGTAAATCAAGAAATAAAAGCTATATAGATTTTTAAATAGATTAATTAACTTTATTTTTAAATTTAAATTTTTAAATGAATTAATTAACTTTTCTTTTGAAAGTTATAAATCAAGGCATAAAAGTTATTTAAATTTTAAAATAGATTAATTAATTATCTTTTTGAATGGATTAATTACTATTTTTTTAAATGATTCAATAAAAACTAACCAATAGAAGATTTTTTTAATTATTTAAAAATTAAAAATTCTAAAAAGATAGTATGATGGTTTCAATTTCACAAGGATCTTCTCGTTAGGATCTTCTCGTTAGAAATCTCTTTTCCTTAATATATATATATATATATATATATATTATTATTATTATTTTTTGTGTGTGCTTTAGCTTAAGGTCTTTTTTATTATTATTTTTTATCTTTTAGATGGGGTGTTTTAGCTCAAGTTAAAGAATCACAAAAAGACTAAACATAATTTGTGTATCAAAATTCAGCATAAAAAATTAGGACAATTATAAAGGCGGTTAATAAGACACACTAAATGTCAAAAAAATTATAATTTAAATACGTTTTTCACATATTTGAAAACACTTTTATACATTTTAATTATTTTTATAAATATTTTGTATACACTTTTTCAACATTAAAAAGTAGGATAACATTTCTAAAAAAAGATTATTTATTTTTTTTGATTCAGAAAAATATTTATACAACCACACAATTGATGCTAATGTAATGTCACACTCAAAAATTTCCATTTTAACATATAGTTTTCAACCATTAGATGTGACAGCGTGGTGGTTTTGACTAAAAAGAGAATCGCGGCCTCATTGGCAGTGATGATGTATTAGTATCGTATACGTGTGTGAATGTATATATAGAGTGGGTGTACTATAAAATGTATTTTTTTATCATATTATTTTTTTTACTTTTTTACATTATTTTATAAAAAATTAATAAATATACTTAGGCATCATTTGTTAAGTACATGTTTTACTCAAAAAAATTAAAAAATTATTATAAGTTGTCACATCACTCTATTTACTTTTTTGTTTATGTTTTTATAAAAAATTAAAAAAATTACTAAAATAACTTGTTTCCATAGTTATCAGAATCCCGATTTAGATCTTACGATCCATTTGAGTACAATCGATCTGGATCGTGTAAAAAATTCCTTATAAGTAGAATATTTTGATCTTGGTAATGGGATCTTGTAGGATTGTGGAATCCCAATCCAAATCCGATCATATCCGATTCAATTTACAAGTCTTGTTTTGTATTATATGATATAGTTTATTGTAAATTTTATATTTATTGTCTAAATACTCAAAAAATTAAAAAATTATTATAAGTTGTCACATCACTCTATTTACTTTTCTGTATATGTTTTTGTAAAAAATTAAAAAAATTACTAAAATAACTTGTTTCCATAGTTATCAGAATCCCGATTTAGATCTTACGATCCATTTGAGTACAATCGATCTGGATCGTGTAAAAAATTCCTTATAAGTAGAATATTTTGATCTTGGTAATGGGATCTTGTAGGATTGTGGAATCCCAATCCAAATCCGATCATATCCGATTCAATTTACAAGTCTTGTTTTGTATTATATGATATAGTTTATTGTAAATTTTATATTTATTGTCTAAATACCAATTTATGTGGTCAAAATAAATAATACAAATTAAGTAGCATTGAATCAAATAGATTATGAAAAACAAACTAGAAAACAGATGTTCAAATATTGCGGTAATTTAAAGAAAATTAACTAGTCGAAAAAACAAACTTAGCTTTAGCGAAGTCTAAGGAATGTAAGATGATTTAAACTTCATCCCAAATTTTGAAGAGATTATTTTTGTGACTCGAATCCACTCTACCAAAGATGATAACGACAAACTTTATCATTCGGTTGAGGTGCTCTTTTGAGTTCTTAATCTATTTTCATATCCAACTTTGTTACATTTTTTTTTTATTCACTTTTTATGTATTATTGTAGATTGTAAAATATTTTGTTATAGAATTTTTCTTCTTCACCTTCTTTTTTGATGAAATACAAAATTTTTACCATAGAGTTTTCTATTGTATAATATTATATGTACATTTTATACGGAATATTATATTTTACACAATATCTTCACTTCTTTTTAATAAAATATAAGCTCATTTGTGTATACTTTTAAAAAATATTTATTTAAATTAAATTATTTTATAATTTATCTTATAAAATTTTGAGGTATTATTACAAAAATTATTTTTTCTTTTGGGGAAATCAATTTTGGGGAAGTGAACCCACGTGGGGTTGTTCCCCACTCCTTCTCCCTTTTCTTCTTCATTTGAATTTCTTTTTTTCCTTGAGCATAGAGCTCACCTCTCTTTTTCTTTCTCTCTCTCTCTCTCTCTCTCTCTCTCTCTTCTTGTTCCCCATTGTTGCTCAATTTTGAGCTTGAAATGAGAGTCTTTAGAGTGAGATTTTGCAAAAGTGTTGTAAATGAAAGTCGGAAGAAAATACCGTCGCAAATACTCTCTTTTTTTGCGACGGTATTTTTCTACCGTCGCAAATACTCTGTTTTTTGAGACGACATTTTTTACTGTCGCAAATACTCTGTTTTTTGAGACGGTATTGCGACGGCAAGTGTACCATCGCAAATAGTTCCGTCTTTTAAGCCCCATTTTCTTGTAGTGATTCTCGATCTGATTCTATAAACACATCTAAGAATCTAACATAGAATTTCAATTTTAATAACCTTGCTTATTTCTGAACGAGACTTTATTTAGATGATCTCAAGACTTTTATAACAGGACATAACAGCCTTTCAAAAATAAATAAATAAAATAACATAACATAAGAGCGTTTCTCGCTGGATTACCCCACCCACGCGGCGTACACCCTCAACCGTCACGCTATTTCCCTCTACGGCTTTTCCATATCCTCCCACCATCCCCCCCATATAAATCACATTCTTATTCATCCTCTTTTATATATCTCTCTCTCTCTCTCTCTCTCTCTATATATATATATATATATATATCTTAGTCACACACGCAGCTCCCTTAGAAATGGCAGTGTATTGGTTCATATGTGCCATTCTTTATCTTTTGGGCGGTGCCGGTGCAGAGGATCCTTACAGGTTCTTCACTTGGAATGTTACCTATGGTGATATTTATCCCCTCGGTGTCCGTCAACAGGTTCGTCAAATTTTCTCCAACTTGGTTGTGTTTGTTTTTGTATCTATGCTTACACTGTATACCTGTAATCAATCAAATATTGTTGTATTCTCATTGATATATATTAATATTCATGTTTATATTAATCTAATAATTATAAGAGCTTCTTTTTTTTTCTGTTTTTTTTTTTTTGGTCTAAAAATTTATTTATTTTTGGTTGGGGTTACAGGGTATTTTGATAAATGGTCAATTTCCTGGTCCTGATATATACTCTGTTACCAATGAGAATCTCATTATTAATGTATTCAATAGCTTGCCGGAGCCATTTCTCATCTCCTGGTTAGCTCTCTCTCTCTCTCTCTCTCTCTCTCAAAAACATGCATGCATAGATATAATTTGACATTTTTTAAATAATAAATCAATTTAAGGTATTTATATAAATTTGTCACATTATTTATAATTAAAAAAATTGTATATTTTTGATGTTTATATATCATTACTCTTACATTTATATATGTACATGTATATATAGTAAGAAAGGATTTGACCAAAAAAAAAAAATTAGTTACTTTTTTTGCTTTTCAAGAATTTAAAAGAGCTGCCTTAAATTGAGTAGATTTTTAACTTCTTTTATTTATTTATTTTTTATAACCTATAAAACAAATATACTTTTATTTGCTGACTTATTTAGTCAAAAAAAAAAGCCTTGCCAAAATATTAGTTGCTTTGCCAATACGTCACATTATTTGATGGAATTTGTCTCGAAGTAGAGAATGTAGATATTTATTGATAGATACAAATTATAGATACAAATTAATTGATATATTATGTGAAGTGTATTTATATGTATTGATAGAGATTGATTTAATTAAGTTCTGAAAGATACGTTTTTGTAGGAGAAATTTTTGTAGGGTTGGAAACTAGATTCATGGGCAATTGTAGTTTATTGGTGTCGTTAAGGTTTCCAATCTCACACGTTGTCTATTTGTTGAGGAATTCTAATTGTGATGAATGGCTGACTCTGGAAGAGAGCGGGACAAGAAAATATTCTCAAATTTTTTATTAAAATATTTTTTAAGAATCACCAAAAAAAAAAAAAAATCAAAAACATAATTTTAATTTAAAAACTAAACAAGATGAATGACTTTATGGTTTTAACCTGTATTTTAGATTCGAATTGAAAAGTACAAAATATATTTCTTTCCACTAATGTTAAGAACACAAAATAAAAATACAGAATAAATCATATAAAATGCAATGGATGATGATCATAACAAGACTTAATCCCAACTTTTCATTTTATTTTTTATGGACCATTCTATGATTTATTTGAGCACAAAAAACCACAAGATATTCACTTTCGTTTTGGATTTATTGTTCTTTTTATTTTATTTTTAAAGTAAATTTAAGAGCACGAGACTTTTGTTATCTTTTTATTTGTTTTTCTCTTTTTGGAACTTTTTCTATTTTTTTTATTTTTTTATTTTTGGTTTGTTTGTATACCAAACTAACCTTAAAGACAAGTTGGTTAGCCCCCTCTTCCATCTGTGCTGGACTTAAATGCCAAAAGGTCCCAGCTCAGCATTTATGATGTATAGCTGTTTATACATTCTATATATATAGTATGGAAAATATAATGCTGATTTGAAAAGAAAGAAAAGGAAAAGTGCGTAAAATTAGGTAAAATATAGATTTTTTGAGTGGAAAGGTCAAAAAAAAATAAAAATATCACATTATTAAAATATTTTCATAGTCCTATTAAGCATATGAACGAGTTCTCATAGTAATAGTACTCTATGAAAATTTTATTGGAAAAGTATTGACTTATTTTTATATTTTTCTTTTTCAACATTAAAAGTGAAATTAATAAACTTTTCCACTTTTCTTTTTGAAATGATATTTTCCTTTCAATATTATTTACACTTTTTTTGTGAATGTGTGTGGGGTTGGAAGTGAAGGGGCGTAAAATCAGTAATTATTAATTACATATTACATACTTCAAAAACAAGAAATATATTTATGGGTAAAAAAATATAAAGTTTGTTTATGTTATATTTAGATTTGAATTTACTCAGGAAACAACAATAAAACCACCTACCTATGCATGCTCATTTTTTGTGGATAACCAAACAAATTTATTTATTTATTTTGACAATAGATAATTATTTGTTACTCATTAATCATGTTTTTTTTATGTCCAGTGGGGTTAAAAAAAATTCAAAATAATATTTTGTCTTTTTCACAAAATAATTTCATTAACCATTTCCTTGTCTCCATAAAACATCAATCTTTGGACTAAATGTCATATCTTTTATAAAAATGGACTTGTCACCACAAAAATAAAAAATTTGGGGGTACAACTTGTGATCTGTTTCATCGTTTGGGTAAGTCCGTGGACAAGAAAACTGAGGCTGATTGGTTCAATGTTTCAAACAAGTTGGACCATGTAGCCTCCGTAAATGTGGGCTAGATGATGGACCACGTCTACGGTAATGGAGGTGAACAGCCCAGCCCAGCTCGTGATTTTGTTAGAAATTAATTCCATTTTGTTATTGTAACTCACATTATACAACAAATAACACTGGATAAGAAAATATATTCATTTTGGTATTATCATTTACCACTTTTTGTTTGATTCAAAGATTTTAGTTTTAATTGCCTAAATTTTTTTATTGAAAAAAGAAACCATTTATAAAAATATGGTTGGTGGGAAAAGAAAACTTAGATCGAACCAGTTTGTTAAAACTTAATGTTAATTAAAAGCTAACAATCAGAAATAAAAGTTAAAAACATTCATCCAATTAACTTCATAATTAGCTTATTAAATTATTTCTAGCAAATAAAGTGTAACAGTCTTTACAAAAAATATGAACATCTTAAATAAGTTGCATCAAATAGTTCTATTAACTTAAATCACTTAGCTGGAATTCCTATAATTATTGAAGTAATTATTCACTACTCTTGGATTATCAATTCAGTAGGTTGATATGGAGAGCTGTCGAACCAATAAAAGTACAAGTAATAGAATGAGTGGAGTTGACTTGACCTACTTTAATCGATTAAGAAGAAAATAAAATCAGTCTCATCTATCTTTCTTATTAGATTTAATTAGTTATTAGTATAAAATACTATGTACACATGCATGGTGATACTCAAGAATATTGAATAATTATTGTAGCTATTCATTTTTGATTGATTACTTATGGAATTAACTTATATTATGGCATACAATAAAAAAAACACACACACACAGGAATGGAATACAACAGAGGAGAAACTCATACCAAGATGGAGTATATGGAACAAACTGCCCAATTCCTCCAGGGAAGAACTTCACTTACACATTGCAAGTGAAAGATCAAATTGGAAGCTTCTTCTATTTCCCTTCTCTCTCCTTCCACAAGGCCGCCGGCAGCTTCGGCGGCATTCGGATTCTCAGCCGGCCACTCATCCCAGTCCCATTCCCTGATCCTGCCGGAGACTTCACTCTCCTTATTGGAGATTGGCACAAAACTAATCATAAGGTAAAAATCAGACCAACCCTCTATTCTACTGACATTTTGCTTTATTTCATTTTATTTTTAAAAAAAAAAATTACACCAACTTTCTTGAGTAATAATAAATAAATTACTGTCAGTGTCAGCTATAAATTTGTTTTAACTCATGATATGCCTTATGGTATGAGGGGAAAAAAAAAAGTGTTCATGTACCAAAAAAATAATTAGCTGACAGTAACAAAGGCCCGAAGCCAATCTAGGCAACTGTAAAGGGTCTTTTTGTCCAATTTTATTTTATTTTAATTAATGAGATGCATATGTAAATATGTCAAAATTATAAAATTAGTTATAAATTCATTACTTAAGAGGGGTCCGTCTAATTTATTCATAGTAAGAGTATTTTCAAGAGATGTTCTAAAAGAATTCAATTAGCTATTTTAACAACATACTATCAATTATAATAACTATTTTAACATTTCTCCTCCAAATTAGCTACATTTGAAGAGGCTCTTGAGGCTCTTTAAACAATTTGTATGGATAGATAGGTAAAATAAAGTGTAGTGTTGAAGCATATAGACGAAAAAGTAATTAAGTAAAATAAAGAGGTTGGTTCCAATGCTCTATGTGTCAAAATTGCAGACATTGAGTGCCATTTTGGACCGTGGACATAAGCTTCCTTTCCCTAATGCCATTCTGATCAATGGTCGAGGACCTAATGCTGCATCTTTCACAGTTGAACCAGGTATGATTGATTGGTAATCAATGGTGTTGCTGATATACATAATTTTGAAGTCTAATAATGCCCAAAACTCAATGAGTATTTTCTATGTTTTTGTATCAGGAAAAACTTACAGGCTGAGAATATCCAATGTGGGACTACAAAACACTCTTAATTTTCGGATTCAAGGGCATGACATGAAATTGGTTGAAGTTGAAGGGACTCACACTGTACAAACAACCTTTTCGTCCCTTGACATCCATGTCGGCCAGTCCTACTCTGTGTTAGTTACAGCAGATAAAGCACCTCAGGACTACTACATTGCAGTTTCCACCCGTTTCACCACCCAAGTCCTCTCTACCACTGCTGTGCTTCACTATAGCAACTCTAAAAAGCCTGTGTCTGGCAGCCCACCTGCCGCGCCCACCACCGTGGATTGGTCACTGAACCAGGCTCGTTCCATCAGGTACTCCTCTACAACTAGCTTGTCCTAAAACCATAAATTCGACATTTAGACCATGATTTCTTGGTCATCCAATGAGCAATGTGTATAATTTGATTTCAAGATTAGTCTAATTCTATGAAGCATGTATACTCCAAAATTATCTGATACGCCTAGCAGCACGGATACGTATACTGATAAAACTGCATGTGTATCAAGTAGGCAAAATACATATTCAGTGAAAAAGAAAAAGAATTGAATTTTCAGCATGATCCAGGTACATATTTTCGCAAATATCACAAATTTCAGAGAACACTTAGTTCTCTAGTCTTTACAAATTGAGCAATAATCTCTCTCTCACAATAATCTGTCGATTAGCATTAAACTCTAGTTGTACTTTACTTTAGCTACTTTTTGTATTTGATTTCTAATTGTTATCTATTATGCACCGTCACAAATTATAAAATATATGTTTTATTGGTGTATCCCAGATGTACCCATATTTTACTTCTAATTTTTTATTTTTTTCGGAATTTCATCGTATTGGTGTACCAATAACGTATATCTGAACCTGTATCCATGCTTCATAAGTTGAAGTCAAGTTCTTTCAACTAGCCAAATGTGATGCACATTGAACAAGTATAGCAATACTACATACGTACAATATTTATCTCAAATTTTGCCCAAAAATATCAAAACAGGGTCTATCTCCCACAACACACCAATTTAATCTCAATCACACATTCGCAGTTTGGGGGTAACTAGGTTTACTGAAGCAAGTAACATCACTATATGATCTGCTTGTGTGCCTTCCAGGACTAACCTCACTGCAAGTGGTCCAAGGCCTAACCCACAGGGCTCATATCACTATGGCACCATCAACATCACCAGAACCATCAAGCTAGCCAACTCTGCAGCTCAAGTCAACGGCAAGCAGAGATATGGAGTTAACAGTGTGTCCTTCGTCCCTGCCGATACACCTCTCAAGCTCGCTGATCATTTCAATATTGCAGGAGTTTACCGCATAAATAGCATCCCTGACCACCCAACCGGTGCAAAAATGCACCTCGACACATCGGTAATGCAAGCTGATTACAGAGCATTTGTTGAGGTTGTGTTTGAGAACCACGAGAACATTGTCCAGAGCTGGCACCTTGATGGTTATTCTTTCTTTGTGGTCGGGTAAGAGCATTCTACTGCCTATTCTGAATTAGTATATCCTCAATCTAAGTTTCGTTCACAACCAAAAATTAAAGTTTCAGTATTGAGGTAGATCAACCCAAGTAGTGTTCTGTTCATTGTGCTACTGTCAAATTTTTGCATGATAGGCACAAAAAATGCACTTGCAATGTGCTATCTGTCATGCCAAATTTAGCATGATGTTATCCATCGGGTCAAATTTTAGCATGATGAATGTTAGTTTTGACTTTTTTACATCTAATAATCTTGGAAGTTTATTATTAATGTTGCAGGATGGATGGAGGTCAATGGGATCCTAGTAAACGGAACCAATACAATTTGATTGATGCAGTTTCTCGTAGCACCACGCAGGTGGGAGGATGATTAATTTGTTGCAAGAAATTGCCTGGTACTACTTTTTATGTTTCCAAAAATTTCACGTTGTTTAAAAACATATGGTTTGTGGTTGTTGCAGGTATATCCCAAGTCATGGACCGCTGTGTACATAGCTCTTGACAATGTGGGCATGTGGAACCTGAGAAGCGAGTTCTGGGCTCGACAGTATTTGGGGCAACAATTTTATCTACGCGTTTATACCACGTCTCAGTCGATCAGAGATGAATACCCCATTCCAAAGAATGCCCTTCTCTGTGGTAGAGCAGCTCACCGGTAGAGCTATTTAATGGGTGGTGCTGAAGAAGAAGATGATGAGGCCCAACCTCTACAATTTAGGATTAACCCAATTCAGTGTCCTATTTATGGTCATATTTATACCAAAGAATGAATGTGTTCAATTTTATTTTTACATTTATTGTACTGACAGTGAATAAAATCACATGTCACTTACATAAACATATCTAATTGTTCCTTTTCTCAATTATGCAGCCATAAAAAATGTTTACATTTATCTCTTAATTTAAAGTTCTGTTCATCAGTAATTAAAGTAGCTGCAAAATAGGTTTTTTTTTTTTTTTTTTTTTTTTTTTTTCGAATCATAATATTCAATAGTTTCATGTCAGCAAACTGAAATGCTACTAAAAACCAGTTAACACAGACAGATTAAAAAGAGTGTTGCTGCTAGCACCTGTCAAAATTCTTTGGACCCCCATCCTTTTAGACCCCACCCCAAAACCTAAATTTTAATAATATTTTTTTAGACACCCCCTCTTATTACCAAATCTACCCATATTCATAATATTTTCACAATCAAATGCACACCCACCTAATTTTTCATACCCTCTTCTTCCTTGTTACTTGACCGTCCGTCTCCTCTGTTTCATCTCCTCTGCACCGACCTAGTCTACCCATTTCAGTGCTGCCGTTTCATTGCTGTTTTTTTTTTTTCCTTACAAAGTGCTATTGTTTCATCATCTCTTTTTTTTTTTTCGTCTCCTCTGTTCAATTCAACAGTGCCAACAATAAAGATTATATTCAATTCAATAATGCTAACTATCTGCATTAATGTTCGGAACCTAAGTATTGAACGAAAAGATTATGTTTAGTAACAGTCGGCAAACCAGCACCAAAGAGCTCGAACAAAAAAAGAACGACTGAAAACAACCGAGAATGTTAACGCAAAATAGATAAACTTACTAATGGAACGCCGGTCTCATTATAATTGTTGTCCTCGTCCTCCATTGCTCTACACGGTGAAAAAGTTATGAAGTATACGTTATACTTAAAGCAAAACTTCCTGGTTCAATAGGGTTGATAATGGTGATGAAGATGACACATTCAGAGTTTAAGATGATTATGAAAAATAAAGATTTAGGGTTTATATTGATTGATTATGAAGAGTAATAGGTTTAAGGTTTACAAACATAGAATAAGTATATATAGAGTTGGAGGCGGGGTTGGGGTGGGTGTCTAATATTATAGAGTATTAGTTCTTATTTGATAGGTGAGTGTTCCATTTAATAATATCTTTTAATGTAATTTTACTTTAAGATATAATTGTAATAAATAAAAAATTATAAATTAAGGATTTAAAATTTTTTGACAGATACTAATAGCAGCACTTACTAAAAATCCAACTATAAATTTCTTGATTAAAAGCGCATAGGTTTCTTCAGATTTTTTCACGTTGGAATCAATAAATTAATCGTTTCAAAGACTCCGTCATGTTGCAATCTAATTTTTTAATGTTTAACTTATTAGACAACCTAGTCCCTATATCCGAAGGCTGAGTAAGGAATCCGTAAAATCTGTAATCCGATCCAGTCCAGTCCAATCCGATAGGTTTGGATTGGTTTTTTGAATCCGCGGTTCGGTTCCGGATTGAAGAATTAAAAATCCGTGGTCCACGGATTGGTTTCGGATTGAACCCCACGGTTCCGGATTGGAACCGATCCGGACCGTATATAAATAATCTATATTTTTGTTATACATCCTCCCCCATAGTATCTTCTCTTATTCTATATGAAATCTAAACTCAAACCTAAATCCGTATAATATCTTCTTTTATTACTTTTGTTTGTTAGTTTTTAGTTTTAATTTGTAATGGTCTAAATATTTATGGTGAAACCAATTTTTTTATGGTTGTTTAAATTCTAGAACAGTATGTCGTTATTGTAAAAAAACATGTTGCTATTGTGGAACTAATATAGCGCTATGTTTATATTTTTATGAAATTAAACTTTTATATATATATATATATATATTTTTGTTATTTAATTATGTGAATCCGTGGTCCTAAACCGATCCAATCCGTATTTAAATGGATTGGTTTGGATTGGTTCCATGATTTAAATGGATTGGATTGGTTTCAATTTTTCAAGAACCGTAGATAATGGATTGGTCTTGGTTTTACCTTAATCCGGACCATGCTCACCCCTACTATATCCTTTATCGTAGAATAACAGATCCATGTTTTTTTTTCCTAAAGTTTTCCAAAGTGGTGCATTGTGTGGTTGAGATTTAATGACAAGTCACATCAATTTTTCAGCATTAAATCTCAACCACACAATACACCACTTTAGGAAACTTAAGAAAAAAAATACTCTAGAGGATCCTTGTTGCATTTTATTACTTTTAATAATTCCACTTTGCCGGCTTGGTTGAATTTATACCAATTAAAAACACATTGAACTGACTATTTTGCACAAATCATTAATTCATCCTAAGGATTCTGTCAAAATTTTATAAAATGAAAATTTAAAACCTGAACAATTATTTCTTAAACTTATTCCATCTCTAATACTGTGTTTGGTTAAAGATTTGAGGAGTGATTTGGAAAAGAAAATGTAAAAAATAGATGAAATGTGAATAAATATACCTATATTTCACCAACCAAACACAGCGTAAACGTTACAAAGAAGAGGCAAATCAGTAAATAGGGAAGTTTGACACCGGCAACTACTAGGGAATCCGTCCAATTCGTCACTTTGTTTTTGTAAAATATGTTTATTTGCATTGGAAAATGACTATGCTATACTTCATGAAACTTCTTTGCATATAAGGGTTGGAATGAAGTTTGTAGAAACATAAAATCAAGTTTTTACTTAGTAACAAGGTAGAGAAATTTTATTCACCCCAAAAAAAGTAGAGAAATCAGCAAAAGCAGAGCTTAACATTTCAATTTGTCATGGAAAATATATATGCTTCTTCCTTGCTTTTTGTAATGCTTTTCATAGCCACATTCACAATTCAATTGGCCAATGCCACCGTTCCGGCCATTTACATATTCGGGGACTCAACTGCAGATGTTGGGACTAATACCTACATTCCTGGGAGCACAGCAAGAGCAGACTTTCCTTTCAATGGTGTCGACTTTACCCATTCCAGACCAACTGGGAGGTTCAGCAATGGCCTCAACAGTGCTGATTTTCTCGGTTAGTGCATAGTATAAAAAATAAAAATAAAAACCTACAACAAACCTTGCCATCATATTGCTTATTTAAACTAACTTCACTTCCATAATGCTTCATTGATCAGCCAAGCTAATGGGGTTTAAGAGAAGCCCACAACCTTACCTATTTCTTCTTAGCCTGCCATCTGGCCTCAAAAGGCATAAACACAGAGGCGTAAACTTCGCTTCAGGAGGTGCCGGGCTCCTTGACGTTACCAACGAAGCAATGGTAATTAACTACTTTCCTACCAACATATTTAAATTGAACCTTTTTGGTGCATTTCACTGTGTTAAAATGTCTTTTTTGTTCACTTCAAGCACTCACTATCTCTCATTATGTCTAATGCCCCATATGGAACAACAGAAGGTTGTCTCCATGACAAAGCAGATCGAGCAATTCATCATTGTTCGCAACAATCGTGTAGCCATCACGGGTCCAAATGAAACAGAAACAATGCTTTCAAAATCCCTCTTCTGCATCAGTGTTGGAAGCAATGACATCTTCGGCTATTTCTCTTCCAATAGGACTATACCTCCAGACCTATTCATTGCCAATCTTATGCGTCAGTATGAGGCCTACATTAAGGTATGCCTACATTAATCCTACTTTTCATCATAAAGATGACACTGAGTTCAATGAAATTTCACTATCGAACGTTGTTTATTTAAACTAAAGAAGTCATGTTGGTTTTGCAGACTCTATATAACTTTGGAGCAAGAAAATTTGGGATCATAAGCATTCCACCGATTGGATGCTGTCCAGCTCAGAAACTTTTCAATGCTACAGGGGGTTGTCTAGAGGGAATGAATGATTTTGCCCGAGCTTTCCATTTTGCATTAGATAACCTGTTGAGAAAAATCAGCTCAGAGCTTCCGGAGACGAAGTACTCACTCGGAAATTCCTATGAAATGACCATTAACGTCATACAAAATCCCGCTCCCTTCAGTAAGCAATTATCTCGAAAAAAATCAATTATTCTCAAAGGAGGTGTTTGGCCACAGAAAGACACTGTTTCAAGGACAATGTTTCTCAAAACTTTTATTTTAGCGAATTGCTAGGCCAAACACTCTGAAAATTGAATAAAAGTAGGGTATAATCTTATTGTTTTCAACTTTGTTCCAATTTTCTCAGATTTTAAGGACGTGGAGACCGCGTGCTGTGGAGCTGGAAGGTTGAATGCAGAAACCCCATGTAATCGGACAGCAAATCTTTGCGCGAACCGCAATGAGTACTTATTCTGGGATTTGTTCCACCCAACACAAAATGCTTCTCAGCTGGCAGCAGTGACACTCTATGATGGTCCAACAAAATTTGTTACCCCTATCAACTTTCGCCAATTGGCCGAGGACAATTAGCCAAACAAGTAGCTCTAGCTCTTTGATCAGTACCTATCAAATGTGTGACTCATTGCTTGTAGCCAAATAAGTGTCCTTCATTGAAGCCAAATGCTTCTTTTGATCTATTTCTTATTTATGTATTAACTAATAACTATCAAACACAAATATGGATTGAAATTGCACAAGTGCAGCAATTTCTTTTTCAGAACTTCTTTTTCACTCGCAATTTAAGGAAATCTACCTTCATTTCATGACTCTCCCTTTCATGACTTGCCCACCATAATATGTCATACTAGTATGGTTTAATTGGGGTTTGGCAATTGCAATTTTAGTGGCTTTTTTGTTGACTTTTTTTTTTTTTTTAAAAAAAAAAAAAAATCCCAATAAGTTTCACTTTTCTTTTTTTTATCTTTAGTGAAAATTTTTGGATTTTTTATTTTTTGTTTTCTACTTGTTAGGTCCTTTTAAGCTAGAAAGACTTGAAAAGTAAAAAAAACAAAATTGTCACAAATTTTAAAAGAATTTACTAAAAAAAAAAATTGACATTTTAGTTTTGTAGGAAAAACTCTTTGGTGCTTATCATCCTCAATGATTTACTTCAACTTCCTTTTATGAGTAACGTTCATGGATGTCATATATTGTAGTTTTGGTTCTTCAAATGTGAAGGAATTGCCTGCCAAAAATGAAACAACCTCAAACTTAAAAAGACCAAAATAAAAGGTGAAATGGAATTCCTATTCCACTAGTCACTACAAAAAGGGATTATGTTCCTAGAGCTGGCAAATGATACTCTCTCACTGACAACTTGATATTACTGTTATTTTGGTTACATCAATGAGATCATCGTGCACAAATTTATTTCGCTATCAACAGAAAAAGGAACCTACTACCAGCTTATTCGTTTATGAATATTGCAATACGTAAATCATGGCTTTGTCTTTTTGTTTTTTTGTTTTCGTAATTCCGACTGATTTTCCAACATTTTTCTAAGTTTACAACACCTTGACCTAAGTTATCGTTGGAAACTCTAGACAAGAGTTTGGTAGCCATATTGTTTGTAGTCTTCAAAATTTTGTCACAGACCTCGTTGGCACGTATCATTTGTTCCATTGCCACCTTCTATGTCATCCAATAAAATTATTATTATATTTGGAAGTCATTGTTGTTCTTGTTCTAAGAAACTTTCAACTTGAAAGCAAAAGCATGTTACAATACATTTCTGTTTTGACTAATAGTCAACATTATATCAACTCAAACTAACACAAAATGGTAGTCACAAAACTTCACAACTCAGGTCAGAATAGGATAGAGAATGACATCAAAATGAATTTAGTGTATGAATTGAGCAATACAAAACAGAAAAAAAGTCCAATCATGTCTAAAACTCATTCCATCCATAAACCTTACAATTGCGTATGAGATTGGGACAAGAAAATGATGTACATGTTTGTTTATTGGACGATTGATTATGATCAGCATCAGTGATTCTATATGCTACAAACATAGGTCATCTTATTTTTTTTGACAATAATGTTTGATGGTGCGGCCCCCAGACAACTACTAGAGGCTAGAGCCATCACTCCAATCTGTCACTTTGTTCTAGTAAAATATGTTTATTTGCATTAGAAAATGACTGTGCTAGAGGTACCTTCTTGGTACTTTATGAAACTTCTTTGCATGTAAGGGTTGAAGTGAAGTTTGTAGAAACATAAAATCAAATTTTGCATTGCAACAAGACATTGAATTCGGGGAAAGCATAGCTTAACATTTCAATTTGTCATGGAAAATATATATGTTTCTTCCTCACTTTTTGTAATCCTTTTCATAGCCACATTCACAATTCACTTGGCCAATGCCACTGTTCCAGCCATTTATATATTCGGGACTCAACTGTAGACATTGAGACTAATACCTACATTCCAGGGAGCACATCAAGAGCAGACTTTCCTTTCTATGGCGTCGACTTTACCCACTCAAGACCAACTGGGACGTTCAGCAATGGCCTCAACAGTGCTGATTTTCTTGGTTAGTACATAGTATAAAAAAATATATATTCTACAAGAAACTTGCCATGATGCTTATTTAAACTAACTTTGACTTCCATAATGCTTCATTGATCAGCCAAGCTAACGGGGTTTAAGAGAAGCCCACAACCTTATTTATTTCTCCTTAGCCTGCCATCTGGACTCAAAAGGCGTAAACACAGAGGTGCAAACTTCGCTTCAGGAGGAGCCGGGCTCCTTGATACTACGAACAAAGCAAGGGTAATTAAGTACTTTCCTATCAACATATCTAAATTGAAACTTTTTGGTGCATTTTAGTGTGTTCAAATGTCCTTTTGTTCACTTCAAGTTCTAACTATCTCTCCACGTGTCAGCCACGTGTCAGCCACGTGTCAGCCACGTGTCAGCCACGTGTCAGCCACGTGTCAGCCACGTGTCAGCCACGTGTCAGCCACGTGTCAGCCACGTGTCAGCCACGTGTCAGCCACGTGTCAGCCACGTGTCAGCCACGTGTCAGCCACGTGTCAGCCACGTGTCAGCCACGTGTCAGCCACGTGTCAGCCACGTGTCAGCCACGTGTCAGCCACGTGTCAGCCACGTGTCAGCCACGTGTCAGCCACGTGTCAGCCACGTGTCAGCCACGTGTCAGCCACGTGTCAGCCACGTGTCAGCCACGTGTCAGCCACGTGTCAGCCACGTGTCAGCCACGTGTCAGCCACGTGTCAGCCACGTGTCAGCCACGTGTCAGCCACGTGTCAGCCACGTGTCAGCCACGTGTCAGCCACGTGTCAGCCACGTGTCAGCCACGTGTCAGCCACGTGTCAGCCACGTGTCAGCCACGTGTCAGCCACGTGTCAGCCACGTGTCAGCCACGTGTCAGCCACGTGTCAGCCACGTGTCAGCCACGTGTCAGCCACGTGTCAGCCACGTGTCAGCCACGTGTCAGCCACGTGTCAGCCACGTGTCAGCCACGTGTCAGCCACGTGTCAGCCACGTGTCAGCCACGTGTCAGCCACGTGTCAGCCACGTGTCAGCCACGTGTCAGCCCAGTCAGCCTGAGCCGCTGACCAAGCCGCGTTGACCAGCCATCAAGCCGAGTTGACCAGCCGTCAAGCCGCGTTGACCGCGCCGCCGATCCTCCGTTGACCGCACCGCCTGCGCCGTTGACCAACCGTTGACAGGATAAATTATCCGGTGCATCTCAATGCACTAGATTCTGCAGATCTGACCCGTCCAAAGTGTTTTTGCCAGATCGGAGCCATTCGGAGTCCGTTTTTAACGATCCAATAGTGCTTCCCAACTATTTGGAGTATTCCGGACACATCTGTACGGTTAGTTTTTTGAATTGAAGTTTCTAAAAAATGGCAGAATCTAGATCAACCGAGTCCGTAAGTAATTCAGCCAGTACAAGCACTTCTAGGCATTGGACCTCGGTGTCCCATGCCAAGTTCGAGGTAGAGAAGTTCGATGGAAGCAGCAACTTCGGCATGTGGAGATGCGAAGTTAAGGATATGCTTGTCTAAATGAACCTGCACTTCACTCTGGGAGACAAACCAGATGACCTAGACGAGATAGAATGGGAGAGGGTGAATCTCCTGGCCTGCAGTTCCATCCGACTTTGCCTTGCAAAAGAGGAGAAGTATGCCTTTACAGAATATGATATTGCGAAGAAGCTTTGGAAAGCGCTGGAAGATAAGTTCATGACAAAGAGCATTGAGAACCGGCTCTACTTGAGGAAGAGGTTATTTCGTTTCGACTACATTAAAGGTATTTCGATGAACGAACACCTAAATAACTTCAACAAAATTATTACGGATTTGAAGAATTTGGATGATCAAGTTGGTGATGAAGACAAAGCACTGTTATTGTTAAATTCCTTGCCTGACTCGTATGATCATCTCACTACTACTTTACTGTACGGTAAAGAGAAGATCAAGTATATTGATGTTGCAAACGCCTTGGTGAACAATGAGTTCAGAAGGAAAGATAAGTCTGCAAACAGGGACTCAACATCCGAGGCATTAACAATCAGAGGCAGAACAAATAACAGAAGAAATACAGGGCGAGGAAAGTCTCGCTCAAAATCCAGGGGGAAACCTTCAGACAAAAGACGTCTTGCAAAAGACGAGTGTGCAGCTTGTCGCCATAAGGGGCATTGGGCAAAAAATTGTCCAAATAAAGACAAGACAGAAGAGAAGGTGAATATTGCACGAGATGGAGATAATGATGAAGGAGGAGCCTTCACAGTTTCATCATATGGCCAGTCGGATGAATGGATAATAGATTCCGGATGTTCATTCCATATGTGTCCTAACAAGCAGTGGTTCTCGAGCTTACGAGAGTTCGATGGAGGAGTTGTGCTGATGGGCAACGACCAAGCTTGCCAGACAAAGGAGGTGTGAGTTGAGAGCAAAGAGAGAGAGAATTACAGAGAGTGTTGTAATTCTTACCATTTTGTTCAATATAGTGAATGTACAATTAGGGAAAGCGATTAAAGAATGGGATAGAAAGAAGCGGGGTGGGGAATTATTACAACATTTTAAATATTACAGATCCGAGGGAGATGAATAAAATAAAATTCTCACAAACCCTCAAAATAAAAATAAAATAAAAGCTTCATATACTTCGGCGACTACGACCATGAACTCTGTCGCCTTTACTGTTGCATGAGTATAGACCATTCTTTGGAACTGAAAGTTGCATCCAAGACCACAAGCTCGGTTCTGCCATAGGCATTGACGTCGAGACCAGTTGTGAGAAGATCAGCAATGTCTTTCCTCAGAAACTTCTCCATTGCGTTTCTCTTCCTGTTTATCATACCGATTCGAGTCTTCGTGAGCTTGATTGCAGACTTGCATTTTGAGTAGAATTTGCTCTTCAATAACTCATCAAACATGTTGATCTTTTGCACTCAATCTCTCTAAAAATCTTCTTGGTCACCTTTTCTCTTTCCTTCTCCTCTCACTCTCTCTAAAATAATTCACTCATCCCCCATGAACCACACCTTCCTCACCACCTTTTCTCTCTCTAGACACCCACCCCTCATATCATAACTTCCTCCCCGTTTTATCCATGTGTGTATGTGTCATGCATGTGTGTGACTCTTCTCTACCCGAGAGACAGAGAGAGAGGACTCGAAGTGTGTCTTTGTTGTTTTAGAGAGAGAGACCGTGGGTTTGGTCTCACCAAAAATCAGAAATAT